TTTTGGAGCAAATAGTCCTACCTTTGTTATATTTTCTCATATACTGTACCTGTACTGTATGCCGCAGTTTTTGGACAATATATTGTTGCACTTTGTTGCTTGTGTTGTCACCAATGTATGTTGTTAACATACCGTACTTGGACGTTCATACCGGACATATACCATAGTTATCTCACTGTTCTCATGAAAAAAAGTATGGTTATACTTGAATGCTGTTGATGTTTGGTATGGAATGTCAACATATACGTTTTTTTATATGTACCATATCTTGTGCTGACCCGGGCCACCTGTCAAATTTAGAAATCAATATGGCCCCCGAGCTAAAAAGTTTGCCCACCCCTGGTCTACAGGAATAACTTTTTTTCTTGCTCATATCAACGACCTGTTCCAGGAGAGGTACCCACCTGATGAAGTCACCATTGGGGTCGGTGCGCCGCCCAAAGCCCACGGGACAGTAGCAGTGGAAAAACTGCTGGAAAAAGGAACTACAGGACAGCCACATCCAACTGCCCGCATTCACACTCCAGTCGGCGTCGAGAAGCAGCTCCTCGAAGACCTGTGGCACCACAAATTTAATGTAGGATCGCTGTACCACACCCACACATAAGATATGTGGACCAAGATCTGATCAAAGTCACTCCTGTCATCTAGTGACGATTCATAACACTGAACTCATTTGCACAGCCTTCATCATTCTCACAGACTGATTGGGGAGCTGGGCGAAGCGTTTCATTAAAAAAAAATAAAAAACACCAAAAATGTATTTACAGTAATCCCTCGTTTATCACGGGGTTACGTTCCAAAAAGAACCAGTGATAGGTGAAATCCGTGAAGTAGAGAGCTTTATTTTTTACAGTTATTATACAATACTGAACTATGTATACAATGAAACCAAAGACCAAAACCTATTCTCAGGCCCAAGCACAAAAAAAAAAAAAAAACAAACGTTTTCAACAAATAACTACAATAGTTTTTGGAAATACTGTACTGTAAAATAATATTGCTTGAGCCTGTCCTCAGGTGCCTTTGCGGGTGCAGAACGTTTCGTCGACATTGTGGGGTATGTATGTACAAAGACGGGGTGCGGAGACTGTTCAGGTTGGTCAGTGTCTTAGCCAATCAGGATGCAGAACGCAATTCACTGTTTAAAAGCATTAAAAAAACTGCACTAAAAAAAATCTGTGAAACAGCAAAGCCGCGGGAGGTGAACCGCGTTAGAGCGAGGGATCACTGTATACATTTTGGGACTAGATGATAGGGTTTTTGCAAAAGTATTTTTACATTTTGGCATTGAAGGAGTGAAGGAACCTTCACTTGCAACTCTCAATCAAAGCTCAAATCCAATGATAGCTTACTTTCATTCCTTCCTCCCAGCTGATCCACAAGTCACCTCTAGTGAGGAAGCATGCCACAGCGTGGCGAGCCAGGTGATGTATCCAGCCCTCTTGCCTTAACTGAGTCATAATGGCATCTATCCAGGGGAAACCTGTCTTGGCTTCAGCCCATTTGGCGAGCGCCTCAGGGTTTTTGTCCCAGGGGATGCGAACACAGATAGGGTTCCCCTCCATCTTGTCGAAGCGCGGATTGTTGGTGGCCGCGGTGTAGAAGAACTCTCTCCACAGTAGCTGTCCGTAAAGCGAGAGAGGAGGGGAACTGTTCTTTTTCACCTGAGAAGAAAATATTGGAAGCAGAGTTTAAGTACAACATTCGCAACAGATAAAAATGGTCAAATAAAAAAACTCTCCCACCAAAACTGTTCCCATTATCATCAAATCTTTGTTAACTCTGGACTTCAGCATTATAAGGTAATTATATTTTTTGCTAACTGTACACTAAATCTCGGTGGAACATTTTTAACTGTCATGCAGGCGTCAAAACTTTAACCACTGCTTGTTTTAAAAACTACAAAGTTGTCCATTTCATTGTTAGTACACAGGCAACTTCCTGCTTCATGGAGGACAACAAAATATTACACACATTACATGGTGGAATTATTTGAATAAAAAATTCTGCTGAGCTCGATTTTTATGCTGATTAAAACTCAATTTGACGTGCTAATTCCAAAATTACAGTCAGCTTTTTTTCTAGCTCAAGTTTGTTCTCCACAGCTTACTATTGAGATAAACAAAATTTCCCTGATTAGCTATTGCAAGACTGTAGTAAGAAGAGCTGAATAGCATTGGACTCATTTTCAACTCTGTGGCAACTTCCCTGTCAAGTCACATTTGAGACAGTGTTGGTGAGAGATGTGTGCAGCTCCCAATAGGTCACTCCTATCGAAAGCTGCAAACAGAAAGCTATCATGGTAAAGATGATGAGTGCCAGTTTTTCGTTTCACTTTGTAACCATGGGCACACTATTGTAAGTTCGATTTCATTTTATAAAGCTATTTATATTTTTGAAGCTCAAACACTTGACCGAGACCAGTTTGGATTCCAAACCCAAAAATCTGTTTAAAAAAAGCCGTCAGACGGAAATCAACAAACATTGTGTTGCCCAATGTAATAGACACTAGAGGGGGCCATTTTGATTCTTAACCTATTCCAATTATACCTCATTGCAAAATTTTGACATTCCTTGAGCTGTACCACAATTGAATTCCACCTCCACCCATGCATGATCCCTTTTTGCTATCTGACGTTCTCGAACTATCGAGAGGATTTTTGCTCAGCGATGAAAAAAAACAATTCTGATCTCAGTGATAACTGCCCACCTTGCGGTACAGGTCCGTGAGCTTGAAGTAGAAAAGGCGACAGGAGAGGCAGCCAAAGCGCAGGTATGGACTGAGGCCTGTTGGGCTGGCCAGCAGTGAGTTGGCGTTCATTCTCGGACGCTCGAAATTTGCCACCCATGCCTGCAAGGTGCACAAGGAGAACAGGGGAGGGGAGGTGCAGAGCATCCCACAGCAACCAACGGTAAGGCAATGTCCACTTGTGCACGGGTTTTTTTTTTAAAACTTAGCTTCCCCACCCCACCATCAAAATGCAAACACATATTAAAGCACCGGGTGGGCTTATAACACAATAGTTCAAGGTGCATCACAAATAATAGAAAAAAAAGAAAACAATAGTCTGCCTGTTTATTGAGCTGAGTTGTGGGTTATTTAACACAACAACAGCAAAAATAAACAAACAAACAAAAAAAACCCTGAATTGGTTCACGTCTTGTACTCACTGCAATACTCCTACAAAGACTACCCGTTCATCCTCTGTACCAGTTATCCCCAGCTAACTTTGGGCGAGAGGCAGGGTACAGCGCGCTCAAATTTCAGCGCAAACAAAATTGCACGAAAAAGATCTTTGTTTTTTGGTTGTATTTTTAAAAATACCCGTGTTTGTGGACATGGCATGACGCAGCATTCCAGAAAAAGGGGAAAACAAAATTTAGGGCCTTTGATTTGGAAAAGTGCAATGAAACACAAATCAAAGGAGGAGTCACTACTCCTCCACTCCACTCCACCACACTACTGTGTGTGTGTGTGTGTGTGTGTGTGTGTGTGTGTGTTCTATAGCTACACAGCTGTCAGCCACGTTTTTGTACATTTGCCTTGAACACATTAAGGTTGGCCCTGAGAAACTCCAAATGCGAGTATGTCAAAATTCCCAGTTTTCTGGAATGCAGTGTTAGTCTTTGTGGATACTCAGGTAAGTCTGCCTAATCACAATTACAAATGAACAACAACAACAACAACAAAAAGATGACTAATATACTCACTTTTCTTTCTAAATGTCGCTCTATTCTGGTCAAAGCCTCCGTCTCTCCTCCTGGCCAGACAGCTGTCGGCAGGCCCTCGATGTCAAAGCCTGAAGACATGAAAAACAATTGATTCAGTCATTTCATAGCTTAATACATCTTAATACGATGGAAGCCGAATCCATTCAAAAACACTGGGTGGACCTCTGATTTGCTTACGGTCAAATTTGTTCTTTATATTGACTGAATACCAAATTGTACCCATCATCAAAGACAGATCTATCACTATTGTATATTGTAAGAAAAAAAAAAGTATGTGTGATGGTGATCGTCACATTTCCCTCGTTACCATCACTTCTGTGGTGAAATTGCAAACTATTTCGCTATGAAAGAAATATGTGACAAGTGTCATCAGTGACTATAAAAAATAGCAAAACGTTGCAGAAAAGTATGATGTCTTATGATACAAGTTTAATTTGTTCCACATTCATAACTTTTGCACCTCAAATCATGTTTACCAGCTGAAATGAATGATAAAAATCAGATGCACATTGGGTATACGTCGTCAATGCAAGCAATCCACTACCACCCAAAAGTTTGGATACTGCTTCTTATTCAATAGCATGAAATTGTGTGCCCAAACTATCACCTGGTTGTGGAGATATAAATAAACCCAAATGCACATGATGATCCTGGTCTCAGCACGGGTACACAGTTTGCACTTCATCCAGGTGAAAGCAGCAGATGGCTTCCTTGTGTCAGTGTGGTCTGACAGAAGCTAACAGCGTGACTTTTGAAGGATAATTTAGGAGGCAACCAGCCTGACCTTTGCTCGCAAAGAATTAGGAACCTGAAATATACTGTACTGACACCTTACATGGAGAGTGAAAGACTGGCACATGTGGAGGCAGCAGAAGGCTGCAGGTAAGCCTTTGCTCTCAATCGAGCTAAACCATCTGTGAGTGGAAAGCAGACATCTGGATGGAAGCTCAGAGGAAGATGAGCTGCCACACAATTAATCCAATAGTCAGATTTAGACCAGCGGGGTCTTTAAATACAAAAAAAGTAGCGTGACAGGTGGACTTCATTCGAGCACGATGTTTAGCTACCCTAAAAGAACATCCATCCATTTTCTATTGCTTATCCTGTTCTGGGTCACAGGTGACATGGAGCCCATCCCACTGACTTTCAGTGTTTTGTGATTTCTCTATGTGAACATTTTCTTTTCACTCGCATGACAATCAACGATGCTAAAATGTTACTTAAATCATGAGATACACACAGAATATTTACATTTCTTTACAAACGGTCAAAGGTAGAACTATCTCAATTCAAAAAGGTATAATGCGAAAAATGCATTGGAAGTTTGAATACATGAATTAAAATAAAAATCAAATGTGAGAAGAAGCTCTTGCCGTGCATTGTGTGCGACTTCTGAAAGTTCACTGCATTTCATCCCACTGTCCAACATCATATATGACAATGTGGGTCGTGGCCTAAAGTGCACAGTAATCCCCCGCCATATCATGGTTCAAAGTGTTATTACAGTAACTGTATTCTATTTTTTTTTCCGTTTGTGCGATATTTTTGTTACTCCTCGCGATAGCGATTCTCATGGTGTATCTCACCAAGCTCCTCCAGGGACGGGACCCCATACTTGTCTCCGTGGTCCTCCAAGATGGGGGTTATGCAGTTCACCATAAGGCTGTCTGACAAAGTCTCCACAGGCATCTCAGGAGGATCCAGGCGACTGATCAGTGTCTGAAAACGCTTGTAGGTAAGGGGGGGTTGGCCACTGTTCAGCTCTATAATCCTGGTGGGGTAAAGGAAGAGACCCTTGCTCAGTTCAGTTCTACATGGCCAGACAAGATGCTGCTGACCGCGGCGGGGTAAAATGTAGATGTTGGAGCATCAGCTGTGAGGTATTTTTGCGGGGTGATACTTGACCCAAAGGATACTCCATCATCACCATCAACATTGTCACTGTTGTGTTGTTTTCACCATTTCCAATAACAGCGGTTAAATGATTTGTACATGTACCGGTAAGAATATGATTAAGAAAGGTGAGATGCATGAGGAGCATTTCGACTGGGAATCACATTTGCATTAGATTTTGTCCCTTGTTTTTGAAGTTAAGGTTGAATGTGTTGATTTCAAAACAACTTGATGAGGTGAGAATGTTTGAAAAAAGCAAATGTATGACGATTATTTTTTTTTTTAATGGGGCTCTATTTTCATAGACAGTGATTTAATTTTTGGTTCAACGCTCTGCTCCCGGGTTGGGTCATTTGGCATGTGCCCAGTGCCTCAGACATATCGGTGGCCAGAAGTTGTCTAAACTTTCAGCCTCCTGGAACCATGTCAAGTTTTAGCACACGTAGTCACACGGTTTTGGTCACTTTGATCGGGGCATTGGAAGACAGCTTCTGACATTTGTGGATGTGCCTGGTGGAGTCATCACATTTCATTCATAAATGTGACAACAGCATGCATGGAACACTACATAATTGCAAGAATCAATTAATTGAACGTATTATGATTCTCATCAGTTTCTTCTCCCGCAATATCAAGCACTATCAGCGCACCCCTCGCCCCTCGTATACCCAATTTCAAGGAAATGATAAGGGCACTTTGATTGACGACAAATCAAGTCGGTTGTGTTCACGCAGCACAAACCACACTTTTTTACAAATGTGTCAACTACCAACAGTCCAACTAACACTCCGTCTAACCCACCTCTGCGCTGATGTACTCAACTCATTGCGCCAGACTTGCACTAGTCGTGAAAATAGAGCCCTGAGTGTTGAGCTGTTGCGATGTACCTCTCAAAACAGCAGAGGACACTGTTGCCAATGGCAAAAGCGAACAAATGTCAAGAAGTTCATAACGATGAGGTTTTGAATGATGGTCGAGTGTCAGGTTTACAACATACTTGTCCAGGTCATAAAGAGTGTGTGAAATCTTGACGATGACCTCTACTCCTGCCTCCATTGCCAGTTTCTTGATGGCAGCGTCTCTGTCCTTTCCAAAAGGCTCTGAGTCGTACTCAAAGGTCAACCTCGAGATCTTCCACTCCTGATGCAGACGCACCAAACACATCAATACTTACAGCTCTTCAAATTAAATCACAAAGACCCCAAGAGGGATGCTTATGGGAGAACCTCACCTTAAAGAGCCGCGGGAACACATTGGCTGGTTGGCCCCTTATGACAAAAAGGCGAGAGTTGAGCTTGCGAAGGTTGGCATCCAGATCCTCTAAACACTGGAGAAGAAACCTGACAGACAAGGAGAAAATTAAACAGATTGAACTGAGAGCCAGCATACAATCAAGCACCTGTCTAGAGTAATTAAGAACAAAGTCCCCTCCAACAGGAAAAAACTGACAGAACCAAGACCAGTTCAGGGCCACTGCAGTAGACAAGTACCTCTACCACTTGGCTTGAGTTGAGTTTCTTTGTTGGTTGCATGCCTTACTTATTTACTTACTTGGTTGGCATGATTACACTTAAACAACCTGAATAACCAAGCACTAACATAAAACAAACGCGTGTCTCTCTTATGTTGCATAAAATGCTAAATATCGGTCTGTCCGATACAGCCAATCAAATCAGTGCAGAAACTAGAGTGAATCATAATAGTTTATTCCAAAATGGTGTGATTTTATTTTCTGTTGATAGGCAGAGAGTACATAGCTAGTTCCAGGAAATATAAAGCTTGTCTTCTCATTTAAAAAAAAATCCTTTGTCAAATGTAAAGCCTTTCAATGTTGTTCTTTGCTCACAGTGGGCCTTCTTGGAAATTCAGTGGCACCTTTCACTGTGTCAGCATGCCACTTACATTGGTGACGTTATCACCATCCTCCTCCACACGCAACACCTCAGCTTTTATCACTCCAATCTATGACTAAGTTGTTGGACAACATGACTTGAGCACAGTTGATTATAGTTTTTGACAGCTTGTTGAATTTGTTTCAGTGCAAAGTCACAAATGCACGTTTGACCTACAAACCAGAGCCTCGTCACCAGTCTAGACTGTGTCTGATCTGCATGAGGATCAAGCAAAGAGGGGCCTGGCAGGCCATTCTGTCCATGTCCGTCAGCCTGTCCCTGAATAGGGACGCTGTCAATCTCAATGAATAGGGGGAAGATGCAGAGTTCAAAAAGAGAGTTGTTCGTGTTCTGCTGTGAATAAGACAATCTCACTTTCTGCAGACTTGTTTAGGGTCTGTGACTCTGGACTCTCGAACCCATTGCAGATTTCTGCTGTTTGGCTACTAGTTCAAAGTCAATTTACCCATTCATCAAATCATCCGTCCATCCATCCATCTAACAGTGTTCACTCGCTACTTTGTGGGTCAGTTATTGAAGCTTCACCCTATCGTACATCTTCATTTGTGACCATAACTTCATTTATTGCAGTTTTGACCTTTTCTGGGGGGCTTTCTTGCTATTTTCCTTCCTTCTAAGTGGGAGCGGTCAAGAAATTACAAAGTACAAATTGAACCGCTGGCCGAACATGTAAAATTGATGCCCACAAAAGGAACAATAAGGCCAGCCCCCTCGTTCAACACAAACACATTAAACCACTCTGCTACATCCCGGTTAGCGTGTCCTGACATCTCTCAGCAACACCTAACGTTTAGGATGTCACGATATCCTTGTTTTTGTACCTCAATCCAAGTCACTTGATTTTGAGTATCTTCCATTACGCGATCTGATAACTCAGCAATGTATTAAAAAGAAAAGAAAAAAAAGAGCACAGCCACGATCAATCGCATTACTTTTTTGTTTTAAATGAAAGTAACCCAATATGATACCTTTTTATGTGGTCTATAAGGTCTACTGTACTGATGATTCAAACCAACTAAGCATTTTTTAAAATTGCACATCAGTGGTGAGGCACAAAATAACAATATAAATCAATTACATTTGAATATTATGGATTCACATGAGAGTACACGGAGTCTGCCTGAGCGCACGACCGCAAGGCTTCGTGAGAGTGTATACCTCACAACATTTTGCGTTTAGGATTCTCCACTAGTTTCTCTTGTGTTGTACCTCACGAGCCACTTCCTGCTGATGTTAGTGTTTCACTGTGTGTGTGTGTGTGTGTGTGTGTGTGTGTGTGTGTGTGTGTGTGTGTTAACCGCACCATCAAACCTCAGACCTTATATAACTGTTCTGTCCTACATCTGTTGCAAATACACTTAAGTTTCCATCGAACCACAATACAATCCCTTACCTTAGCCTAGTAACCTCATTGCTGGTGCACATGTGTACACTCTCTCTCCTCTCTGAATCGCTTTGTATTACAATAACATTGACAAGTGAGGTGATGAATTTGCTTATGAATTACTTAGGCCGGTCTAATGACAAGCCATCATGTTTAAAGTATCTGACAGATGACGCTGGATGGCTGAATTTTATTACATTTTGTTCAACTCTACAAAATATTGTATTTCCACAAATATTAAGATGAATGACTCCTCTGTCAAATAGCCTCCGTAACATTGGGCTCGTGACGGGGTACACCCCAGTCTGGTCACCAGCCAATCATAGGGCACATACAGACAAACAACCAAGAGTTTCATCAGTTCTGTGACTGAGGTTTAACTCAATTTAATTTTACTGTATTTTAAAATGGGAGGGGGATGTTTTTTAGACACAAGGAAGCAGTGACAGCTCTGACGAAGGCTGAGGTGACACCCGAAACTGGCAGCTCGTTCAGAGTTTTTTTCATCACTAATAAAACACTGATTAAAAAAAAAAAACACACCTATTTCAACTAATAAGAAGACAAGATGAACGTCATATGCTACCCATCACCATGTTATTCTCCGATTTAAAAACCACAGCTACACCAACAGGGCCTCCAGTAAAAGAGTCTTCGAGCAACGCCACCACACTCTCAGAAGGCAATGTTGATGAATGTCAATTACTCTGGGTGATTCACATTTACATAAAATGATAGAAGCAGCTCATGGCCCGAGGGGCGAATGACGAGAACGCTGCGTAGACACATATCTATCTTTCTACACACATAGACTCATACGGTAGAGGTCCCTCTTAGCCAATGGGATGCCAGGAGGATGCTAGGTAATAGCCAATGGCAGAGCAGCTATAACTACGTTGCGTTCAGGAAACTCGGGGCTGCGAGTAGCACTCCAATATTGTATTTTTACCTTTCGCATCTTGAAATTTCTTTCGTAACAAGAGGCAATATTTTCCTGTTGAGGCGTTTCATAACTTGAACATTTCATATAAAGAGATGTTTGTAAGTAGAGGTACCACTGTAATCAATACCAATGGTTCAATTTATTGATCTGAATGAAAACTTGTACCCATGAACAACAGCTGTCCCTAAAACTTGCAGGAGCTGTTGTGGTGTTAATAGGACACTACGCTGCACTACAACTTCTACAAAAAAAATGGCAGTTCCTCCATTATGTCGAAAAGGACTCGTGTTGCTTTCACTCACAAACATTCTTTTGAATGCAGATGAGATAATGTACAGACTCAGGGTGATCACGTGACGTTTAATCTATGCTGTTGTACACTTTGGCAGATGACAGAGTGACGGGGTGAGCGTGGCGAGCAAGCGCACTTCCCCTTGACCATCATTTTTGCCTGCAGCCTTTTCCAGCCAGTGCGTCTGCCAGCATGGGGAGTGCCTCGCCACAAGTAGGTCACGACCACGTAACCGCTCACAAGTTGTACGTCGCTGCCTGGCACAGTAACCTACATCTGCTTCCCCACTTTTTCTTCAGTGAGGAAAAAGTATTGATGAAGAATATCTATTAACGTGGACTTTCTCGTATGATTTCCAGGTTATTTAGAATTTTTTTAAAAATGGACAAGATATGAATAATTTGGGAGTTAACTGTATGTATGGCCTGCCGTATAGTATACCTGCGAAAGTCATGTATAAATATTTTCGGAAAACAAGAAAAAATGAATGAAAAAAGAAAAAATGTAATTTTTTTTTTTTTTAGAACACAGTTATTTTTTTATCTGTATCATAAGCACACACTTGACAAGATCTATAAGCAAACGGTAAAAAGACCCTTCATTAATTGCATAATAAATAAAAGCGCCTTGGGCAGAACTGGCCATAATGTCCCAGCCTGAAAGGGACCCTTGATTGGGTTGAACATTGGTACTTATTTACTCTTGGTAAAAATGTAGACAGAAAGATGGATCCAAAGTGAGGGAATGTTTGAGTTAAATGTATGCTCAACATGACATGTTGCTTGTCAAAATTAGTTGACCTATGTAATGATAATTAATAAACTTCTCATAATGAGCAAGACCAGCCAAACTCTTTGGCATGTTGGAAGGAGTTCCATTTCTGGTTCTAAGGTCATCATCACATTTTCCCTCTTTACTATCACAGCTTCCCTTCTGAGATGGCGAGATAAATAGTAAAAAAGAAATTATTTTAACGATGTCTGGCAGGACTATTAATCTACTCAGTACAGGTTTACTTCAGACAAAAGACTCAGTATCCTTCATAAAAAAGGTGAGTGAAAAAGAGAAATGCGTGCTGGTTTTCACGCGTCTGTTTTTTGTTGTCCTGCTGGTTTTCAAATCGCAATATATATATTGCAGGATTGAAAAAAGACGGCCCGTTGATCCAGTGGTTAGCGCGTTGACCTCACAGTGCAGAGGTACCGGGTTCAATTCCAGCTCTGGCCTTCCTGTGTGGACTTTGCATGTTCTGCGTGGGTTTTCTCCGGGGACTTCGGTTTCCTCCCGCATTCCAAAAAACATGCATGGAAGGCTGATTGAACACTCTAAATTGTTCCTAGGTGTGAGTGTGAGCACGGATGGTTGTTCGTCTCTGTGCGCCCTTGCGATTGGCTGGCAACCGGTTCAGGGTATCCCCTGCCTACTGCCCGAAGACGGCTGGGATAGGCTCCAGTAACCTCACAAAGTTTCAGCAATCTTTTTGAGGTGTTTGACTTTGGAGGTTTCACTGTGTCTGTGTGTTTGTGTAATGTCTCACTTTAATCCAGATTTGGTAAAGACTGCTTTTTTTCAATACGTTTCGGTTGTCATTGTTTTATATGAAATACCCCTCCCGCTCCCAAATCTACGCTTGAAGGTAGTCTTGACAATGTTTAAGGATAAAAGCCACATTAAAAAAAAAAAAAAGTCTTACCTCCACCTGTTGACCCCAACATTGGATGAGCCTGCAAACCAAGGGTCCAAGAAGTAGACACAGCGCACCGTGCCCGCACCCTGGACTGCCTCCTTGAGCGCTGGGTTGTCATGAAGGCGCAGGCCTTTCCGGAACCAGTGGATGGAATTGGGGGCCATGTTTGTCTGAGGAATGGATGAGACAAAGATGAATGAATTGTGTCTCTCTAACTGGAGCACATCCTGTATCATCTGTGCCAATAACATGTCTGCTGAGAATAGAAAAAGATGATTAGGATCAATATCACATTGCTATAGGACAGAAAAAATAAATAAATACTACTCGCCATAATTGTGCAGCCCTATTCCTAGGTCAAAATCTCATCCATCCTCTAGTTCATGGGGATCAAACTCGTTTCAACTTAGCGGGTACAATCATCGAAATTTGACCGTAAGTGGTCTGCAACTGTTTTTTGGGGTGCAACTGGAAAATAGTCCAATTGCACCTTTTATTGAGTCTCCTTGCAAAGATTGTTTCAAATCATAGGAGCAATCTGACATTTCTAAACACAAATGAGAGCAATTTCAACAATATTATGAATCTGTGTTTTCATTTACATTTGCAATTTACAGGTCACGGAAATGACTTGTAATCCATCCGTCCACTCTCTACACTAGTTATCCTGTACTGGGTCAAGGAGTACGCCATGCGTGACATTGCAGAAACAGGTCAATCATCCGTCCACTTGTGGATGATGGAGTCGGCCGTGCACGGGACGTGCACATGGAGACTGCCTTATACGCCCGAGCGTGCATCTGAGTGTGACCCTATCCACAACAGTAAGAGGTGTGCCATCAAAAATTTTGCCGCAGCATGCAAACGATAATGCCCGCATTTTTACACCGAGCGCAGACTACTTTGTTACCAAATTGTCAGATGAGTGGGGGTGAGGCAAGTTATACCCGTTTTTATGCCAGTCAACCAAAAGTAAGGACCCAAGTGTATAACTGAACTTCAAATGGACTCATTTCTGAGAACTCATCTTGTATGGTCAAAGTAACAAGCATGCCTTCACGCTTCAAACTGCTTGTTCAACATTAAATGCATACCCACATCATTTAGCAACAACAACAAATTGCCATCTATCAAAAAGTACAATATTACAAATAGATTGATGGATGGATGTATACATAGATGGATAGGTGGGTAGATGGAAAGATTGACAGAGATACTTTATTAATCTGGTGATATTTTGCCTCATAAGGGAAATGATTTCTAAAAACAGGTCAACACTTCCTCTGCCATATTGTTGATTTTTACAGCCTTCACAGTTTAGGGATACAAGCACTCGACAGATTTTTCAAGGAAGCGTTTGTCATGAATGTTGTCACTTGTCAGCCATCCAATGAAATGAAACCTGTGACCGTCTGTTTGGGTGGAAAGAGGATGGCTGCTGACGCCAATATTCTGACGGATGAAGATGATTCAGGCCGGTTTCACATGTATTCTGACAGCATGTTGATGACTGAATCATGAAATTGAATACAATCGTTTCACACTAAATAACCGCTAATTTGTTCAGATTAAGTACCCAGGTCAATAAATGTTTACATTTTTTAAAAAACAGGGATGCAAGTAAACTTTTCTAGATCATCTATTTTCGCTGATTGTGAATCTGCCCTCATTTTTCTTCTCTAGCACATCAGGTTTTCATATAATATGCAATATACAGTGTGTCCCATAAATCTCCATACATGGGAGAAATAAAACAGTCCATACATACCGGTATATGGTTCTAACATTAATTTCTTGATGGCTGGTTCAGCAGAAAGTCATATGGTTATGTCAAGAAACATTTATTTTCCCTGTGTCTGGATATGGTTCTAACATTAATTTCTTGATGGCCCGTTCAGCAGAAAGTCATATGGTTTATGTCAAGAAACATTTATTTTCCCTGTGTCTGGAGAATTTATGGGACACCCTGAAGAAATAGATTGTGTAATATTTATGAATTATGGGTTAGATTCAGCAACAGGTGCCCCCCCCCAAAAAAAATCATAGCTACAAATGACAACACTTGGTAAAATCCGTATTGCGCAAGTTTCTTGTAGGTCAAACTTAAAAACAAAAAATTTAATTATCTCAAAAGTCTGTCGTGCCAGAAGAAAAAAAAAGCTTTTTTAAAATCAGTGTCAAAAATATGTTTTGGGACATACAAAGCCATCTCTAATTAAAATTTGTAGTTGACCAGAGCTATTTTTTACCATTACACGTTAATTAAAAGTTCATTCATGTTTCAAGTAAGACGCCGTTAATTGTAATAGGTAAAAAACAGCAACACCAATACAATTAGACACTTAGAAACTCTGAAAGTCTTTGTTAAAGGATACCTCTCTAGTTTGTGCATCCGGTGGAACAACAATACACGATGTACTGTACATACAGTACATGCACACATATCTCTTGGTGGCTGTTTACACGCAAATGCCATGAACTTCCCACAGATGGAAACTAGGTCATGCGTCTGTTGTGCATAGAACCCAAGAGCAAATTCACAATGTGAACGTTAAACTGACACCATACAGTCAATATGAGCGTCAAGGGGGTGCTTTGCAAAAAATAAAAATACACCCAAGTAAAAAGGAGAGTTTGATACTAAAGTTGACCAGCCGACCCAGACACCAACACAAGAAACCGGGTCAGAGAAGCACGCTTTATGTAACCGGTGGCGCTGTTTAGAAAAGTAGAACGTACTACCGGCTTGAAACTAAATAGTTTCGCCATCCAGAACTATAGCCTTACCTCGCGGTAGTGCCCCGGAGATGATATTCAAGTCAGACCCAATGAAATGAGCATTCTTCCCTCCTGTGCGTTAAAGTGCCGTCCGCCACTTGGCTGCGTGAAGAAGGCATACGGCAGAATCACTGGCAATAGCCTCTCACTCAAGTGCCCCAAACTAATCGCGGATTGCTCGGTTTCATAACAGTTTGCCCAAATGCGCATGCGCTCGATCCAAATAGCCTCCTTTCGTGCGGCGTTCAATGTTCTCGTGACCTCTGAATCGCGGACAGATCACGAGCTATCAAATAAATAATTGAGATCCGCAGTAGGAAAATGTCCGATGAGATGACACAAATACATAAATAATATCCCTTTCACAACAATGACCGTGCACCGTAACGAAAAGGTCAGAGTCATTAAAAGTTCAAAATGAAAATCTGAAATGTAGCCATTTAATTAAAATCGACCAAGTATAGAGACACAATTTATGAACCATAAACGTGTTATATTGTCATTAAAACACCTCAATTAATCGTTGTAAAATAGCATTTAGAATGTGATATCCTAATTTACGACAGCAGTTGAATGCAGCACAAACCTTTACCCAACGTGAAGGCAACAACTCTTAAAAATCTGCCTTTCTATTGGTCGGTGTGCGGGTTTTCGTCACGCTTTTGGTCACGTTTGAGCGGCATGGGAATCCGGAAGTCAATTTACGATAGATTAAATGGTGATACTTTATTTGTACAGTATAAATAAATGAGCGCTCGGCCTGTTACCATATCGACTGACACTAAATTAAATTAAAAAATAATTTTGATTGGTTTAAACCGATGATATTTCTCAAGATAAATACTATATACGATTATAAAGAGAAGCCACTGTAAAATGCATACTAAAGTAAAGTAAAACGACTCACCCTTCCTCGATGTATTGCTGGAATTAATTAAATATACACGTCGTTATCTGTGGTTGTTTTGTTATCAATTACTATATAGTTGCACTGTGTGTTCAGCATGACATCTGCTGCGTAAAATTATTTTGTGGATGTGGGGTCATTTAAAAAAACATTTTTAATTAGCTACTGTATTATAGTATTTCTCATGTAACAAGTTGTTACATGAGAAATACGTGTAATGCTCACTGAGCTGAAGTCTTACAAGATTTACTGACATGATACTTTGAACTCTCAAATTACATTTGAGATGTAATTCCCGGATGTTTTCCTAAATTGAATAATTGGGCAAATTTTAGTGGGTCTCACTATGAAGGTTTGACAAGTTATTTGTTTTATTAAAATTAAAAAATTACGATAGGATCAACCAGTTACCCAGGACTGTTTTTGCTTGTTTTGTAGTGGTTTGATTGTGTGGTGGTTCACTTTCATAAACAACTACAATTTGCTTTTTGCTGTGATTGCTATTCTTGAAAACAATCCAGGAGCCTTCTTTCTGAGACTTTGTCATCCATCCTTCGCTACACACAAACATTGCAAATGACAGGATTTCTGAGGTGGCCTTATGTAAGGCTTGCGTCACCCCCACTCAGTTCCTTGTGTGCTGACGTCTCATCTCAAGGCCTTGTGCTGGTTTGACGTAAAATCAGATTTGTTTTTCATGCCAGTCAGGGACAGCGGAGAACGAAAGAGTGTCAAACAAATAGCGCCTATACAATCATGTGGTCCCGGCTCCTATTCTCTGTTAATTAATTCAGTATCTTGAAGAGTTATTTCAATGAATATCTCATATCTGTTTGCATCTCAAAGTGAAACTTCAGTACCTTTGGGTGTGAACTGTGAAAGTTTTAACTATGAGCAGGAAAGAAATCATATTTGCAACATAAGCAGGTTCTTGATTATTTCTGAGCAGAAAAAAAGCAAAGAAATAAACAATACACTTGTTTACTCGAATGAATGCTAGCGTTAGCTTTCATAGCACATATATTTAAATGTCTTACACATGACATTATTTGCTCTCCTTGCATGTTGGCAAATGATGGGCTTTCAATTGATGTTTTTTTTTAAAGCCACCTGCATATCCATGTGCCTCCATCAGTTTCAGAGTGTGGACATGGGGCTACAGCATGTCTGACTGACATCGACTGTTGGCGCAGGTGTGTTGGCGGCTGCAAAGAACATGCTCCACGCCACGTTGTAACACCTCCCTTTTTAGAAACAACACACACAGACACGTGCCCCTTTTTTCTTAAGACCTGATTTGTCACCATGATTGTCTGTGGTCAGGTCTTGTTTCCACTGGTGACAGTGGAAGAGGGTGGTCTGGGGGGCAGCCTACGTCACACATCATTAAATAGTTCATTGCAAGTTCACTCTCTCAATCCATCCATGCATCTATTCACATTGAATTGTCATCAAAGACTGCACTTGTTTCCAATCCCACATTAAAAATGACATGTTCACTTAAAAAAAAACATGGCTTGTTCAGTTCAATTTCAAATCACTGCAATTTAATCTATTTATCATTTTCTTTGTGACTTGGCTACATGATTTGGAGGCTGTATGGTGGAACCTGACATGTCAAACACCCCATACTCTAGTCTAAAGACAGTTAGATCAAAAATAACACAAACTGGGTCAAAAAGAGGCTGCTTTTTGTTCAGATAAATAACTCAACCCCCCCCCCCCAAAAAAAAGTCTTATTTTATTGGTGACCTTGCTTTGCGTGCCACAGCCATCCACAGTGAGCCGCAATCACTGTTCCTTTTAAGTTTTCCCAGGTAACAGGTGCTTGTGCTTCCAAAAGTGCTTTTACACTCACAATCCAAGTAAATTCCTTAAGTACTGTAATGCCCCTCAATGTGATCAAGGATGCACACAGTCGCTGATGCAATCTGGTCGCTTTTTAATAAACAAAAAAGGCAGCAATTAATACACACTCACAGGAGCTGCTATTGGCCACTACTCACGCCCATGCACCAACATCCACACTCAGACTAAAACGTGTATTTTATTTTGTGTGAAAAGGAGGTTTGTCTTTCTTGATCTAGTTACGGTAATGACGACGGTTAGCCGATTGCTGCAGCAGAGCCACTGACGTGGGCATTTTAAAGCAAATGTAAAGTTGAGCGTCACATTCATCTAGTAGGTGTGAGCGCCTTTGACGATGTCTATGTCACTAAATCCTCTACCTCCGTGCATGCAGCGTTACTTGGCACTACGTGTCGTGAGCAGTGGTAGGTATACTAACGACGTACAATACTTAAAGTAGATTGGTCAGGTACTTGTATTATTTTTTTACATGTACGCCCTACATTTTAAAAATTGATATCTTTATTTTCTTGTCCTTCCTTGGTCATTGTCAACTGGGCACTTTTTTTCAACATCCGCAGGTGACGACACGGCAACAACAAAACGAAATTAGAGGGGCAAAGGCAAACGCGTATGAGATTGCTGGATTGAGATCGTAGCGATTTTGCAGTGAACAAAAACAGTTACAGCAACATCATGGAGCAAATATGAGGCAACCGGTTGGGAGAAACAAGATATAACCCATTCATTATCCCTAATTCAAGACCGTTTGTCTCACTGTTTATTTTTTTTTAGCTTTAGTTAGCACGGGATTCGGGGTGGGGGGAGGCTATAACCTGAGATTAGTAAAAAAAGTAAAAAAAATTAGTGCATACTGTAAATCGACTCACAAAATAAATATCCATCCCACTTAATTCTCACTATACGGCTGACAAATAGGCAGAGCTGATGTTTGTCAGTAAGAAAAATATTCAAGAATGGTCTTTTTTTTCAGATAAAATCTGCAAATTGGCGAACTGGCTCAAAGTTTAAAGAGCAATTGCATTTCTTTGTCATGAGCTTCCATCAACTCAAAATTGGTATGATTTGAGACAAGTATTTTCATTCAATTCCAGGGGATTCCTCAGCTTAATGGATCGAATGCCGGTTCTACTCCTTGCAATCCTCCATCTCCATCTTAGCTGTGCTAACGTAGAGAAGGTACAGCTTCAGGTGGTCGTCAACAGCACGCTCTGCAGTGTCACATGTGGCATGGGCATCAAGGTGCACACGGTTTGCACGATGAAAGATGGTGAGAAGGCCGTGGAGAAAACGAAAGGGAGTGCAGAAGCAGTTGAGGTACCGTAGCATACGGCCCATTCAGTAACAAAGCTCCAGCGATCGAGCTTTATGATGTGCTTGTCATCCAGGCGATGGAACAGTGTCACGACGTGAAAGTCAAGTGTCGAGAGTCATGGCAGTGTGGACTCAAGACCGTTACCGTGACAACAGGAGAGAAACTGAAACTGGATTGTCTGGTGGAGGACACGAAGAAGATGGAGCATTCATGGAGGTGAGCAGTGATTCCCAACCACATTGGTTTGTCTGGAAAGATCATCCGATGTGCTTCCGAAAATCAGCTCGTTTCATTTAATTGTTGTAAATATGAATTTACTAGAAATGATGAATGTTTGTTAATTGATATTTGGAGGCGATGTATTTTGGCAATCACAAGATGGCAGAAGGTACAATTAACCTGTGATTCCCCCTGTTGTCATTCATACAACAGACTAATTTTTCCATTACCGGTTATTGTAAAATACAGCTTTTTTACTTGGCTCAGTAAATGTGGTGGGAAACACCAGAGGAGAGGACCTCATCAATTTTTCAGGTCATACGTGTCAAGAATCTTTCTGATTTTGAAGGACGTCTGAATCAAAGTCCAGTCGGTACAAAGTGCTATTAGAAGAAAAGCTAATCACTGTTGACTGTCCCTTCAAGCGACAGTGAGCTTCTTCACCTCTTACACTGCAGGTCCAAATGGTCAATTCCGATTGTAATAAAACATCCTCAGATGCCTGATTTAAGATATCAAGTGTAGTTACACGTCATCTGCGCCCAAGCTTCTACAGCAGGGGTGTCTAAACTCAAGGGCCAATGTCCGGCCTGTTTTCCATCTGCCCCTGCTGCAACACGCCTGATTCAAATGATCAGGACAGATATCTGGCTTCTTCAGAGCTTGCTGATGAGCTGATCCTTTGAACCAGGGGTTTTTCGCCAGGGAGAGATGGAAAACAGGCAGGGCCTTGGCCCATGAGGACCGAATTTGGACAGCCCCGTTGCTTAAGTGCTGGGGTCTCTTATGTGAATGCAAGTTTCTGAGTTCACGTTTTTACTCTTAGACGTGCTATAGCGCTCAGGGTGTTACAAGAGCCACATGACATGGTTTATTAGATTAGAGATAACGCCACAACACTTGTTTTTTTCTTCTCACCACAGGGTAACATGGCACCGCGCCACAGGGGTGATCAGCTCTGACGACTTGCTTTTTGCCCGCTGGGACAATCCACAGCTGGACCTGGTCATTCTGAACCCGGTCAGGGAAGAGCACGCAGGTGAACATGATGTCAATACCCGCGAGCCTCTTGTGATTACATCACAATGTGTCTGTAAATCGCTTTTGTATTCACCAGGAACATATCGCTGTGACGTGCTTGATGCCAATTTCAGAAGGTTGAAAACGGTTTACTGGGGTGTCCGAGTGCTGCCAAAGGGGATCCTGAATCTGGACTATGACCACGCTCAGAGTGTGTGGGACTCACCTTGGAACTGGAAAAAGTACATTATGTCAAGGATCCTTGATTCGCCGATCCTGTGGCTTTACATTGTAAGTCCTACTTCAGCAACTGATGGTTTGGGGTCCTGACGTGTGGCAGTGATGTTTTGATGTGATTCTTATTTTTTATTTTAATGGCGGGTACGGTCCTAATGTGTGTCGTACTGAACTGAAAGTATGCGCACCACACGCTTCAAGCTCTCTGAGGCTGTCATTGTCATTGTTACCGATGGACATCTCAGTGGCATCCCAGTGAAGTTTTAGTCAATTTGTACCATGCTGGCAAGTAGGGGCTGGTTGACTAGAGTAACGTTCTCAACTGTCTTCCAAGTGTGCAGAGAAGTTAACCTGTTACAGCGTGTCATCTGTTTATGAATGAGTTCTGTTTCAATGACATCGACAGAGCCAGATTTTGTTGGCAAGATGGAACACACGTAGTCTTTATCACTAAATTAAGGTAACTTGACAGTAAAAATTACAATTGCAGAACTGTATTTGTATGATAAACACTTCGAGACCATAACACTCAAATGAAAACAGCCTTGACACCTTTGGTTGGCTTGCACACCGGAAAGTGCGCTAAATAAGTTCACTGCCACCGTTCATAACCACAAAACAACATCAGGACTCAGGCCGAGCGATTTCAGGAAAAGATTTAGTTGTGTGTGTGTGTGAACCCACAGATGATGACCTTTCTGAGCCTTCTCAACGTGGGAGCGGTGCTCTTCCTAGCGGTGAGAATCTTGAAGAAAAGAGGCTCATTTAAGATCACTGAGGATGCAAACTGCCCCGAGACAATGACAGAGCTGTGACAGCTACAGGTTAAGGGACCATGTGCTTGGCAACACATTAAGCGTTTCAGGAGTAAAGACTAGGGGGCTACCAGTTTCCACTCTGTTTGTTTCAAGCTACTGGGAAAGCATCTGAGGGAAATTAACCTAATCTGCAAAGTTGTGATAACGTGGCAAGGTCAAAATGTCATCAAAAGTTTGTTTTTTAAGATGACTTAGACTTGATGGATAAATATATTTGAAATCTGACATCAAGGATAAGAGTTTGTTAAAGTGACTGTAAAAGGGTGCTTGGTAACAAAAAATGCTTACAATGTCGTATTATTTTGAAATATGTGAAATAATTGTGGGAGGGATTTTAGCAAGAATTGTGGAAATTGATGAATAAATTTTGTCTCCGTCAGCGCATTAACCTCACAAAGCCAGTAGATGGCAGTGCTTCCTCGCATTAAGTCAGGTCACCCTCATCACTCATTAACTTTTTTCTGGTATTCGTTGCAGTGGTTAACAAAAAAACAAGAAGCCATTCATAAAATCATGGCTTGATTTGTCAGTCACGGGTTGCAGTTACTCCCATATCACACAGACGTACGATATAGGCCAACGATGCAAGACCGAGTTGAACTCAGCACCACACTGTCACGTTTGACCACATAATCTAAAAAGAGTTCAGTCTTTTGCACATGCGGTTTACATTTAGCGAGGGGAAGATTTAACAAAGCAACGCCAAGATTCCAGGTAAACAAAATCAGTTCAATTACTGACATGCTTAACTCTAATTCATTCATTTCCTGGTGGAACACGGAACAAGACTGTCAATTCCATTTGTGAGCTTGACAAGACACAGCCATGTTTGCCGTTTCCCATGTAATGTGATGACGATTGCATAGTAGCACACGTGGGACTTCATACAGGCCAGATGACTGGAATGTAACCTCAGCTGGGTTGCTGTAATAAATTGTAAAAATAAATGGTAAAACAGCCGTAAGTACAAATAAAAATCGTGCAAGCCAATGATAATTAAAAGATAGGATTCAAATCACAGGTCATAATTTTTTTTACATGTTTTTTTTTTTAAATCAGTGATGCAAGTACACTTTATTAGTTGTTTTTTTTCCTGCTGATTCCGAATCCAGGTGTGTGAGTGGTGTCAAAGAAAAATAATCATACTAAAAACACTTCTGTCGTGCTTTTCACGATGCCCATAGACACTCTACAGACAGAGCTGCAGCTCTTGGTGCTGATTATGAAGCAGTTACGAGTATGTTTAATTGTGAAAAACATGATACAAGCCAGAGCAGAATATGTTTGTGTTACACTGCATGCACTAACACACTGCTCGATGAATGACCTTTTCCAAAGGTGCTGCTCCATAATTGGACACGTTCACAGGGGGGCGGCGGTTGGTATATGCGTGCAAGGGTCCTGCAGTGATGACAGAGCACATTAAATGACTTGCATTTGTACTGTGACATTTCCGTGTGTCAGTGACAGGTGAGCGCGCACGAGTCGCCGGACAAGCATTGTGTGACGCAACCAAATTCGATGGGTAACTATTGTTTCTCAGCATGACCTTCACCGCGATCCAGCAAGTATTTTTCGGTTTGCTTATCAACATCATCTCCACATGCCACACCATGACTCTCTCCCACTCCATCTATTATCAACCGTTTATCCTCACGAGGGTTGCGGGATTGCTTGAGCCAATCCCAGTAGTTTTCAGGCAGTAGGCGTGGTACACCATGAACTGCTTGCCAGTCAATTGCAGGGCACACAGACGAACAACCATTCAGGGCTACAGCACCACAATGTAGAGTATCTAGTCAAACTACCATGCATGTTTTTGGAATGTGGGAGTTAACCGCCGTACCCAGAGAAAACCCATTCAGCCACGGGGAGAACATGCAAATTCCACACCTAAAGCCCGGAGCCGGGAATCGAACCCCGGACCTCTGTACTATGAGGTAGATGCCCTCACCAGTCGACTCTCGTGCCACCCACGTACAAGAAAACTAATTCGCTCAAAGTGGGCCTGTCAGTGCTTTGTATGAATATATGTTTGAATGGGTCAGAGTGAGCCTCTATAAAGCGCTTTGTGCTCCCCATTGTGTATAAATTTACACTTCATTTAGCATTTAACTGAAAAATTCCAAAACAAACCATTCCAGGAAACTGGATGATCTATGAATAGTAAAACGTGTCACACTCTTAGACACATTTTAAAGGCTTTTATACAAATAAATGGGTCTCTTGACTGCCAGCTCATCAATTGCGAAATCAAACAACCCAATAAATCATTAGTTAGAGTGCCTATCTGTTTTGGAAATTGTGGCCGTGAGTGACCTTGCGGCACTTTTGCCCCACTGTTGCGGAAAAGTTAGACCCTCCTCCATAGGTTCTCCTGTGACATGATCAGGTAAGATGAGCAATGGACACCCATATCTACGCCAGTGTGACGCCGCTGCTACATGTCAAAGCCAAAAGGTAAACAAAGCTGACATAAATTGGAAGTACAGGACTATAAAATAAGTGCCAATGTTTGTGTCAGTCCTGCATGGGGATCCATTAAAGTTGAGAAGCTACAACTTTGGAACAGTAGTTTTAGCATCCATCCTTGCATCAACATAAACTGTCCTGGCTGGTCCACCATTTACACAGACTGCTGCATGAAGTGATGTGTCACCATGACAACAATGATGGGATTCTCAAGCCAAAGCAAAATCCAAATGATTCTGAAGATGTTCTTTCGAAGCAATTCTGCATTGTTCCTTTAATGGTTTGGAGATTTTTGGAGTGCGAACTGAACCTTTGCTACACAATTTGAGATGAGATGGTCGAACATTAGAAGGACTTGTTTACTTGGAATGAAGCACATCTGCATAATAGTATCTTCGAAAACGGCGGGAGACACTCAGACGTGCCTTGTAACACAATGATGTAATTGTGACTTGCACGACCCTAACAAGAAACTAAGGCCACATTACCGGTAATCAGTTTGCTGGCACAACCATAAATGTAAGTATCAATTAGTGAACATAATGTAATGTTCAGTTGTTCAATTAGCTAGCATCCTTCCCAAGAAACTAAAATCATTTCACATATATTTTCTTCAACAGTCAGAACCATCGGATTGTTTTGGTCCCATCTGTTATTATTCAAACTCAAATTTTATTGGCTTTGATAGTATTAACACACACAATACTGAACAAGGCAACAAACAGCCATTACAAGACACGCAGGATAACAATAATAGTAAAACTAATGAACTACCAAAACAAAGCAAAGAAAAAATTAACGCAATATTCTACCACATCACCGAGAGTGCGTCAAGCAGCCTCATCTGTAAAGGTTTGTATCTGACCTATACATAAGAGGCTTAGCAGATTTCCGGTTAAGCAAAATTAGTCATCTGGTTAGTCAAAATGAAAATGCAGTGGCTTGTGATTATGCACAAGATATCTCCACCTCACCAGGAACCGCCCCCAACACACACATATATCTCAATTTCAGGGACAGAACTTCTCTCTCCCAAAGACAAAATCGTGTCACCTTTGGGCATTCCCAAAACATATGGTGTGTAGTGTAGCTGAAGCTTGACTGCATTAGACAGATAGAGCCTGTGGAGCACTCTGGAGCAGACCTTATGTGATACAGATCAAGCTTGTAAGCATGCTCTTTATTACCCAATGCCAAGAGTTGTCCTAGACTTCAAACTTCCTTCTGCCTTAATATTGTCAGGTTTTGGAGACAAGGTCCTTTGGATAGTCTCATAAATTCTGTTTACTAAATTAACCTTATAACCTGAAATCTCACCAAAATTAGAGAAAATTCCCAACGTCTTAAGAATAGAGAAATATGGTTGAGATTGTCCGCAGAGAAACAGTTTGTGACTTTGCCCCCCTCCGTTGTTGCCCCTGAGCTCCTCAGTACTTCTCAATGGTTCTCACTGCTTCTCAGTGCTAACTGCTAATGAATTCACGGCAAGGTCAAAAAGGAGCAGGCTCAGTGGGCACCCTTGTCTGGTCTACCCTACAAATCGGATACTAATTAGAAATTGTCTTACAGTATTAGTACAGACTGCAGCTTGCAGTGTGGCATACAAGCTGGTCCAAAAGGAAACCTTTCCAAAGTTTGAAAAAGATATCCATACTAAATTCGCTTGAATACTTTGTGGGCATCAAGGGAAAGCAGAACCTCTGCTGTTGGAGGATCTCCTGGTGAGTAAAGGACATTGAAAAACCTGCTTACATTACTAAAAAGCTGCCTCCCACTAATAAAAACAATCTGATCAGTATGTACGGCTGTCCGCATGACAGTCTCCAACCTATGAGCTAACCTATTGTTTTTGAAAACAACAAAGCTAATTTTGTGTCATCAAGGAAGCAAGCAGATTTTTTGTACAATAAACAGAAGATAATAGAAGCCATGTCCAGACATCCTGCAGCATAGGAGTCTAACTCGGGGCCGGGGGGCCAGATGTGGCCTCCCACATCATTTTAAATGGCCCGCAAAAGCAAATCAAAGATGACAACTTCCATGATGCTTGCTAAAATCTGTACCAAAATTTCAAATGTAATAAATCTGTGACATATTATAATCATTTTCTTCTTAGCAAACTGCTCATAACAGTTCCTTAAACAATAATTGAATAAAACGTTATTCTTGACTTCTTTATATAGTTTCAGGCACAACGGCCCTCCACGGAAAAGGCAATTTAAATGTGGCTTGCAACAAAAACGAGTTTGACACCCCTGCCCTACAGGGATACAGTATTAACATGTACATTCTTAGCTAAGATCATTCACATAGAAAACATATTTGTCAACTTTCAAGTGCATTTTGGCCAATTAGAAGAAAAATAAAACATCAGCTGACGTGGATGTGCATTAAAGCGACTCCCTAATGTACACTATATTTCAAGCAAGAGCATAAATGGATGTGGGGTCGAAGATACTTCAATGAACCTAACATGCAGGTCTCTGGAATGTGCTTGAGGGTGCAAGCACCAAGACAAAATAAGTATGGGGAGAGCCTACTAAGCCTGCACAGGTGGGCTTCAGGCAAGACTCCAACTTAGGCCCCCCAACCATGAGC